ATACTAGCAAAATTAACGAATAACATTTTTAAACGAGGACACGAGAGAGAACGGATTATGAATACCAAATGAAAGATATATAACATAAATACTATCTAGTCTATTTATACAAAATCAGTATGAACGACCGTCTACTTTACACTAAACTCAATATCTACTATATAAAACAATGATTTTTAGATCCACGTTATATAAAACAATCATCTCTAGATCTGAGTCTGTTTCTTTTAAGAGTTAAGCATGGAGGTTCAGTTGGCTGGTAATATAGTAGATCTTTCCATGCATATTTGAAATCAGTTTAACTACTCCATTTCTTAATGCAAATCTGCATGGGTTTTGCCAATGTACAAACTGAGGGAGAAATCAAGGACGTCAAAATTGGCTGCCATTGATCCTAGAAACAAAAGAATAATAACTTCCACCAAGAGAGCATGAAGGGTGCGACAGCTAATCCCCCAAATAGACCCTATTACGTAATCCATCTCAAGTTATTTTAAGCTAAAAATAACTTGAGATGGATTACCTTTGGAATAAAGTTTAACTGTCTGACCCTTCATTCTCTCTTGTTTCACCCGAGTAGTGTCTATGACAACAAATTTTGACATCATACCCTGACTCTGATTCTGTTCACTTCTGGGTGTTAACACTTAAGTTTTCTTCACCCGCATCATTGGGCTATCTGTACTAGAGTGTCAAAGTTTAAACTTTCTGAGCCACGTTTAATTTCGACATAGCATTAATGTAGTCCTACTTGATAAACTTTCCTCCATGTTTTATCTCTTGCCTGGATATCTAAACATTGGGAGAGAACATAAATGAAATACATCATAAGCAGAAGATTTCACCACGACTGACTTCCACGAGTGTGTGGATGCAGGGGCCTGTAGGTCAACAGGGAGCCCATGGCCAGTTGATTCCATCAGCTTATATCAATATCACGAAGAAACAATCTTCTAGCTAAGTAGTTAAGACCAACACCCCTAGTTACGAAATTTTAACCCAAAGCCACAATTTTGAAAAAGGAAACGAGTCTACCACCACATGTTGGAATCAGCTGCGGCGCTCCCAACTCTAGAGGCAGCGATACGCAGAAACATAGAATCGTTCAACTGAGCAAATATCTCAGAATTTACGATACAAAACGCATAACGAGGACCCAGTCCTCTGGTCCAAGCTGGCAAAATAGCCATTTCGCGGCCTGTCCTGAGAGCTACTGTAATCGTAATACCGTAATCTGGCGTGATGTTATGATGTTATGGGAGGGGATAGAGAGTGCGTTCCTTTGGGGTGATCTGGATCAGGATCCAAGATCACTCGGATCATGGTGCATCAAAGGGACAGATAAATCCGTGACCAGAGTGGATTAATCGGTTCCTTTGATATACCATGATCCGAGTGATCTTGGATCACTGATCCTGATCCAGGTCACCTCAAAGGAACCCACCCAGAGAGTATCATATCCAAGGACAAACACCCGGGCATATCTTTGGATATAAATAGAAGCTATTGGACATGTTGCCGATATATTCGTCAAAGTAAAACTTGCTAGTCCCGAAACATAACATAAAACGCATCGTTTGAAAGTGGGCGATATCGCTCTGGGTTGACAAGCTTCAGCTAGCGAGAACCTCGAGAAAACCCTCTTCTGAATTCATATAAGCCGAGTCTTGTATACATTGTAAAGATCTACTCTTCATGCATGTAAGGGATTAGGAGAAAATACTTTTGAATGGATAAAGTCAACAAAAACCTTTCAAATGCGGTCAAGACAATTCATTTTCATGTTTGTAAGAATCGGATTAAAAATTCGACCAAAAACTAATGAACCGCTTATTCTTCGGGTCCTGAATTCCGCATTCCGGCCTTCAGCTTTATACATCAAATTGGAGTCAATAAAGCTATTGCAGTAAAGTTCATCTAACAGTACAGTAAACCAGTCTTAGATGAAATTTTGTCGTGATATTCGAAATAATTGAAATGCTACTTAGTGCATGGAGGCTGTTGGTCGATATTACAGGTTGAGACCATTTCAATATACGTAGCTCAAAAAAAAAATTACTACGCTAAGTTTTAAAAGAGATTTTGATATGAAGTCGGCCTGTCGTTTGGTTTCATTAGTTAAATAAGTATGTATATTAAAAATAAACCGCCATATTTGAAAGCGGCTTTCTTGAAGTTTGAGAGCTTCAGTCAAACAGAAACCGCACACAGGACAGTTTTGTACGATCAACAATATCTCGTTCTTGGCTTCATCGATATTGCCTTTCATTCAATAAAATAACTCACGGGAAATAGCTAGGTCAGAACCGGCCATATCTAATGATAAAACTGATATACTGCAATGATGCAGAGATAGGTATCAATTGTAAAATGTTTTTGGATGGAAAATGAAATTACACCTAATAAGGAAATACCTCCTGTTTTCATTCAGGTGATAAATTAAAAGTTTAATTTCTTCTTCCGGCCGTTCGAGGATTTCGACTGAAACATGACAAAGCACTGCTAAAGTATTACACAGGCGTTTCTGATAGCAAATATCATAACAACAGAGTGATCTGGTTTCCATGTCATCCACCTCAGGAAATTACCCCCAAAAAGGGGGAAATGTTTTCCGATGTCGTGCATACCGCAAGGAAAGTAGCAAAACATTTTTGAAACTGATAAGAATTTCGTTCTATAGACTGACAGCTGGAAGAGTGATCCACTTGAAATTTGGCAAACCACAAACTTGGAATTATTGAGTCGTGTTCTTTTTTCGGTTGAACCGACGATCAACATTAAATTTTGTCGTGCAGTCGCTTGCTTTGACTGCTCCTTGACCCTCCTTGCTGTGCAGAATTTCGAAATAATTTTGTTTGCTTGGAACTGTAATGTGGAAACAAAGGTGTGATATGATATTAAGCTTTGGTTAGATTTGTGATTGCGGAATGAAAACACGATTCTTTCCAAGACAAGCACGGAGAAATGCGATAAGACTGTTTTAGCTGGAAGAATAAATTCATACCGGTTTCTTTTGTAAGCTGTGCAAAACACTCGAATACAAAAGACGAAATCCGGACATGAAGGAATTTCTTGGCTAACTGACAAGAAAAAATCGTTCGATTAAGAAATATAATATTTTAATCAATACAGTTTCTAAGACTGGGACTATACTGAGCAGTACCTTCCTTACAAAAACAAGCCGCATACCGGGACAAAACATTTATGAATTTAAAACCTCCTTGGATTACCAAGTANAGATATAAGTTGGCGTTGGCCGCATGCTAAGTTAATTTAAACATTAAAGACGATATTATTATCATAAAAGAAAGACATACATAAATGCAAGCTAAAATAAAGGAAAAACAATGTCCTGAATATTGTACAGTAGAAAAAAAGATGGAAAAGAGCCTGTGCTAGCAGGGAATAAACCGACTTGTAAGTGTTCTTATTCTTCTGAGCCTGGTCCGACGGATCATGCTAAGTGTTGTTTCAAAAGCGCTGTCTACCTCTTCCTCAGAGTCACTGTCACTGTTACTCGCGCTAAGGCTGTCTGCCTGTTCGTTGCGAGTAGGAGACTGCTGGTAAACTGGCACCCTCTATTGAATTAGGCAGCCCATTACTTTCGCTTCGAACTTTTTCTACGCCTCTCAATGAATTGAAATTGACTGGTTTCAAGACCGTTTCAGTTTCATATATATAAGTTCAGAGGCTAAATGTGCCCGTCCTGTCCATTGTATCATTTTGACGTATATTTCCTTGTCTGGCGGATTTACCATGCATCTGAGCTCACACCCTCTTTTCAGCTTGCTCTTTTCTGGTCTGATCTCGTGTGAGGTTGGTTTGGGAATTTTGATGCGAGGTAAGGAAGCTGCATACGATGTTGGCAGTTTTTAATATGAATATAGATTTGTGGAGAACGCTGCTGCCCACTTGGAAACCCTTTTCGTGTTTCTTCAACTGATGTGTCAAACATCATCAATATTCATACAATATATACAAGTATGATGTGTTAAGGCATGCTACTTTTCAACATGAAGGTTTAAAATCTCATTTGTAACCGCGAAATAGTGACCAGTTCTGCACGTGCTGGATCTGGATGGACATGCTCAAAATTAACGAAAAAGTTCTGACATTTTTTGATCCCAGGAAATAAGTGATGTCTCGAAATTTTTATCTCATTCCCCTTTTTAACTTTTTTTCCCATTCCCAATGACCAATTCCCAGTACCAGGGACTTCAGGTAATTCCCCTGAAATAAAACTGCCAATAGATTTTTGTTCAAACTTTGTCCACTGAATATTTATCATATGAGAACTTTAACTATAAAATAAAAAAGAGGGGTGCCACGTTCATTAAGGAGCAGTGAGGCATTAAAAATGTCCGATTTTGACATTATTTAATGCTTATTACAAGAACACATTCCAAGTTATTGTAAAATCTTTGTGAGCCAAGACTCATGAAAACACGCCTCAAACTACAGTCAATACTTGTGTCGGACACAAATAAACTTTTCAAGTTTGATTTTGACAGACAGCTGAAGCCTTTTTAAAATATTGAAACCAAATTGCTTGACACGGCTATCAAACTACAAAATAGAAAAGGCTACAGTGCAGTTGCTATTTTACTTATTTATTCAATTTTCTACAATAGAAATCAGATCAGTCTTTTCTCACGCAAAGGTAATGATTAGTTGATTAAAATGACTGGAAAAAAAATTTGGGGTGCCCGAGCCCGTTAGTGAGCTATAGCCATTTTTCAACTGACAGAACTCAATATTAAGGCAAATCCGCTTTGTTTTCAATGTGCGCGTGCACGAGCGCGAGCGCGTGCAAGTAAGGATGCGCAACGCAAATGCGAGGAATCACCTTAAATCCCATTTTCCCAGAACAAAAACAGACCAATCAATCCCAGTTTGCATTTTACCATTTCAGTACCCTCTACATAAAATAAGTAAACGTTATCTTCGAGTTTCTGCGTTGCAAGGTACAACTGAATGTAGGTAAAAGAGACACAGGTTTCATTATAGGTTTCTTGTTTATTATAATAACAACTCATTTGATTTATACAAAGGCGTCATTTGTTTTCGATCGATTCCAATTTCTTACAACAAGTTAAATCCTTATTAACTATGGAGAAGAACAAATAAAATCGTTGTCCATTGATAAAGCCAAATATAATGCAATATATGCTTGTCACAAAATGTATTTAAACGTTTGTTTTTGTCGATAAATTTTAATTCAGTCATCAACTATCTTAGTAGACTACAAACTAGTCGTATGATATAAAATTTTTATACACATAATGGTTTCTAAATATTATTTTTCGTGTTTTTATGGCTAATATTTTTCTAGTTAAGGTACCTAATTTTTCCGCTGATCTCAAATTACTATACAGTCATATAGATTTATCAAAAATTGTAAAAGAGAAATCCTATGGTCATTTCAAGCCTGGCTGAACCCATGATGAACTGCATCAGTCTCTCACACGTTTGGCCAACAGTACGATTGAGAATCCGACACTTGTCTTAGTTAGGGTTTACCAGTAAATGTAATATAACGCACAGCGAAATTAGCTGTAATAGTTCCTGCCTGATTCCTTTCAATCTAAGTTTGATCGGAGCCATCTTAAATCATACTCAGATGATTTAAACACCAAACTGTGTCATGAGCTGTGTAAAACAATTGCAGTACAACGCTACACTATTTTGGTAGAATTGCGAGACAACTGCAACGCGTTGAAACTACGGTTTAATTCCACATAGTTGCAGGAGAATTGCGTACAATTGCGTTACAACAAAGCTTTGTCGTTTTCACTGGGTAGATATATAAACGACTTCTCCTTTTCTTCTCTTTCAGTTTTGAAACAAATTCAGGTAACTTAGTCGTGGGAATAACAAAGGAACTTGTTCATTTCTGTCTTAAGGCTAACTATACAAAATGTACAGCAATATAATGATTTGACATCAAAAATTAATTTAATTTAGCTAACAGTATCAAAATACTAGCAAAATTAACGAATAACATTTTTAAACGAGGACACGAGAGAGAACGGATTATGAATACCAAATGAAAGATATATAACATAAATACTATCTAGTCTATTTATACAAAATCAGTATGAACGACCGTCTACTTTACACTAAACTCAATATCTACTATATAAAACAATGATTTTTAGATCCACGTTATATAAAACAATCATCTCTAGATCTGAGTCTGTTTCTTTTAAGAGTTAAGCATGGAGGTTCAGTTGGCTGGTAATATAGTAGATCTTTCCATGCATATTTGAAATCAGTTTAACTACTCCATTTCTTAATGCAAATCTGCATGGGTTTTGCCAATGTACAAACTGAGGGAGAAATCAAGGACGTCAAAATTGGCTGCCATTGATCCTAGAAACAAAAGAATAATAACTTCCACCAAGAGAGCATGAAGGGTGCGACAGCTAATCCCCCAAATAGACCCTATTACGTAATCCATCTCAAGTTATTTTAAGCTAAAAATAACTTGAGATGGATTACCTTTGGAATAAAGTTTAACTGTCTGACCCTTCATTCTCTCTTGTTTCACCCGAGTAGTGTCTATGACAACAAATTTTGACATCATACCCTGACTCTGATTCTGTTCACTTCTGGGTGTTAACACTTAAGTTTTCTTCACCCGCATCATTGGGCTATCTGTACTAGAGTGTCAAAGTTTAAACTTTCTGAGCCACGTTTAATTTCGACATAGCATTAATGTAGTCCTACTTGATAAACTTTCCTCCATGTTTTATCTCTTGCCTGGATATCTAAACATTGGGAGAGAACATAAATGAAATACATCATAAGCAGAAGATTTCACCACGACTGACTTCCACGAGTGTGTGGATGCAGGGGCCTGTAGGTCAACAGGGAGCCCATGGCCAGTTGATTCCATCAGCTTATATCAATATCACGAAGAAACAATCTTCTAGCTAAGTAGTTAAGACCAACACCCCTAGTTACGAAATTTTAACCCAAAGCCACAATTTTGAAAAAGGAAACGAGTCTACCACCACATGTTGGAATCAGCTGCGGCGCTCCCAACTCTAGAGGCAGCGATACGCAGAAACATAGAATCGTTCAACTGAGCAAATATCTCAGAATTTACGATACAAAACGCATAACGAGGACCCAGTCCTCTGGTCCAAGCTGGCAAAATAGCCATTTCGCGGCCTGTCCTGAGAGCTACTGTAATCGTAATACCGTAATCTGGCGTGATGTTATGATGTTATGGGAGGGGATAGAGAGTGCGTTCCTTTGGGGTGATCTGGATCAGGATCCAAGATCACTCGGATCATGGTGCATCAAAGGGACAGATAAATCCGTGACCAGAGTGGATTAATCGGTTCCTTTGATATACCATGATCCGAGTGATCTTGGATCACTGATCCTGATCCAGGTCACCTCAAAGGAACCCACCCAGAGAGTATCATATCCAAGGACAAACACCCGGGCATATCTTTGGATATAAATAGAAGCTATTGGACATGTTGCCGATATATTCGTCAAAGTAAAACTTGCTAGTCCCGAAACATAACATAAAACGCATCGTTTGAAAGTGGGCGATATCGCTCTGGGTTGACAAGCTTCAGCTAGCGAGAACCTCGAGAAAACCCTCTTCTGAATTCATATAAGCCGAGTCTTGTATACATTGTAAAGATCTACTCTTCATGCATGTAAGGGATTAGGAGAAAATACTTTTGAATGGATAAAGTCAACAAAAACCTTTCAAATGCGGTCAAGACAATTCATTTTCATGTTTGTAAGAATCGGATTAAAAATTCGACCAAAAACTAATGAACCGCTTATTCTTCGGGTCCTGAATTCCGCATTCCGGCCTTCAGCTTTATACATCAAATTGGAGTCAATAAAGCTATTGCAGTAAAGTTCATCTAACAGTACAGTAAACCAGTCTTAGATGAAATTTTGTCGTGATATTCGAAATAATTGAAATGCTACTTAGTGCATGGAGGCTGTTGGTCGATATTACAGGTTGAGACCATTTCAATATACGTAGCTCAAAAAAAAAATTACTACGCTAAGTTTTAAAAGAGATTTTGATATGAAGTCGGCCTGTCGTTTGGTTTCATTAGTTAAATAAGTATGTATATTAAAAATAAACCGCCATATTTGAAAGCGGCTTTCTTGAAGTTTGAGAGCTTCAGTCAAACAGAAACCGCACACAGGACAGTTTTGTACGATCAACAATATCTCGTTCTTGGCTTCATCGATATTGCCTTTCATTCAATAAAATAACTCACGGGAAATAGCTAGGTCAGAACCGGCCATATCTAATGATAAAACTGATATACTGCAATGATGCAGAGATAGGTATCAATTGTAAAATGTTTTTGGATGGAAAATGAAATTACACCTAATAAGGAAATACCTCCTGTTTTCATTCAGGTGATAAATTAAAAGTTTAATTTCTTCTTCCGGCCGTTCGAGGATTTCGACTGAAACATGACAAAGCACTGCTAAAGTATTACACAGGCGTTTCTGATAGCAAATATCATAACAACAGAGTGATCTGGTTTCCATGTCATCCACCTCAGGAAATTACCCCCAAAAAGGGGGAAATGTTTTCCGATGTCGTGCATACCGCAAGGAAAGTAGCAAAACATTTTTGAAACTGATAAGAATTTCGTTCTATAGACTGACAGCTGGAAGAGTGATCCACTTGAAATTTGGCAAACCACAAACTTGGAATTATTGAGTCGTGTTCTTTTTTCGGTTGAACCGACGATCAACATTAAATTTTGTCGTGCAGTCGCTTGCTTTGACTGCTCCTTGACCCTCCTTGCTGTGCAGAATTTCGAAATAATTTTGTTTGCTTGGAACTGTAATGTGGAAACAAAGGTGTGATATGATATTAAGCTTTGGTTAGATTTGTGATTGCGGAATGAAAACACGATTCTTTCCAAGACAAGCACGGAGAAATGCGATAAGACTGTTTTAGCTGGAAGAATAAATTCATACCGGTTTCTTTTGTAAGCTGTGCAAAACACTCGAATACAAAAGACGAAATCCGGACATGAAGGAATTTCTTGGCTAACTGACAAGAAAAAATCGTTCGATTAAGAAATATAATATTTTAATCAATACAGTTTCTAAGACTGGGACTATACTGAGCAGTACCTTCCTTACAAAAACAAGCCGCATACCGGGACAAAACATTTATGAATTTAAAACCTCCTTGGATTACCAAGTATTTAGTTGGGAGGGGCTTACGCACGTTTTTGGGAGTGAAGTTCATAGGCAGCCATTGTTTATAGTGTCTGCTAGTTTTTTCCTTCATTAATCGACCATTACAATATATTCTTATCGAAAAAGGCGTGTGATTAAAAGGCGCCAAAGGTCTACGATTTCTTTTAAGGGCCACCAACATCCACAGAAATCTACATATGAGACTCTTGCATTTTGTGGATATTTCGTTGTTGTTAAGCTTAGACGTTGCAGTTTTGTCGTCATGTTTCCGGACTCAAGGTTACCCTTACAATATACATTATCTAAATACCATGAGAGGTCAGAAATATGAAATGCACCGCCTATTTTGTCCTTATATCCTGTGCAAAAACGTGACTATTGGGAGACATAAATAAGCTTTGAATTACATCCGATCAGCCTACACTACAAAGGCGGTTGTACAATTATCTCTTTTTTTAGCAACGAGGATTAGTACACTTCAAACCTAATATCTTTGCAAATCTAGTTCTTTGTTATTGGCTGAAAAAACATCTTCATTGTCAAAGTAAGGCCCTCAGCTAAGTCAAATACAATTGTTTCTAGAGAATGTTTTAATGAGGCGGTGCAGTGGGGCAGATATCATAACGCGCAAAACGTGATCGTTGCTCGACTATATGTTTGCTAGAGCTAAAAGGAGGTTAGATCAGGGCATCACAGATCCGGCGGTATTTTTGCTTGTGTTAGGGAACAGATTATTTCAGACGGTCAATCCTCTTATACCCAACACCGTGCCAAGTTTTAAACGCTAAGAAATATTTTTACTTTCTAAAACACTTGAACCTTACAAGTACTGATGATTCCTTTCAAGAAAGCGTGAACGCGACCATGCGGTTGAGTCATGTGCTGAGGCTCGTAAAGAAAATTGGGTTCTAGACGCGATTTTTACTCTGTACCTGGGTATTGAACGCAAGTCTGCCAGAAAATTGAATTCGTAAGTTCAGATAGGAGTGTTATTTGTAATAAGCGCAATGTTATTTGAGATAGTCAGAGTTCAAGTTTTGGACCAAAGCTAGCAGCAAAAATAAACATTGTTACACCAATGCACACATAAACACGATAAAAAAGCAATCGCTTTATAATGATCAAGAAAAATATAAACGTTATGAACTTAACAGCACAAATATGGCAAAAATGGAACATAATAAAAAACTGTTCCAGATAATAATGCACACAGGGGGTCTCAGTGTAGCCATGACTACTTATGTCGTATTGGGTAGGAATTATGACAACCACACTGTATTACATCTCTTTTTGAGAAATAATTCTTCTCTTCCAAAAATAAACGAGAAAACCGTGAACCTGTGGAAACTGAAACGAACGAAACAAAGAGATCACATTCCTTTGATGATCCTCATACTTTTCGCTAAAATCGCTTGTTTCGCTCGTAAAGCCGATTTAACACATAACGCATGGATGTCCGCCAAAAATGGCAAGAATACTGCATGTGTTTTCTTTCCGGAACTTTTTCAAATAGAGTGAAAGTCAAGTGTGCAGTTTCCGCAGTGCCAGAGAACTAAACTGTCTAGTCTTGGATGTGACAATCTCTACCGGTTCGAAACTGCAGTGAAAGCATCGTCTCGTGATGCGTATAAGCACGTCGACAAAAGCCTATTTTGGGAGCATTCTTTACATGTAAAAGCCAACGTCAATTTCTTTTCTTGACGCAAGTACACCAAATCCATGCCTTAAAATACAGTGCTCAATTAAATGTTTTTGATGGGATGGGACAAAAGACTCCTTGAAGATGTCTAATTAAATTGACGTTGCGGTCAAATGTGTGCTTTGCGTTTCTTTTGAAGAAAGATTACTTCAGCTTCACCCCATGACCCTTAAGAACTTATATTGCATTTGAAGATTTTTCCCTCTTGAAGAAACACGCAAAGTCTACTGTCACAATGAGACGAATTCATCGTCTTTTTTCCCATGTCTATGGGATTGAAACACCTTACGATCTTTTTTAATAAAGTTAAACAATTGTTGAATCAACTTTTTTTGTTTGCAGTGAGAAAACGACTAAATAGGCCGTTTGATGACAGCGATCGGAAGTCAGCGAACCCTTTGACAGACCTTGAAGTACCTATTTGTACGGGATTTGTACCATGAGGGCACTGTTTTCTTTCAAAACATTTTTGCGTTCAAAATTTTCAGCATTGTTAAACCCAAGGTGTTTGCATTCAATGCTGTGGTCTGAAAAGAGCCTGAAGGAAATTTGCAACACAAAGGAAGTTCTTTGTGTAGATGAAGAACAATTAAGGTTGTTTTGGCTGTGAAAAAATTGATCAATGTCCTTATAAACGATGTCCCGCAAGACTGGTTTTTCCCACGCAAAACGTTCTTGATTAATGGCAATTACTATTACTGGTGAACTCATATTTTCCTTCACTGAGCACGGAATTTGTATGCGTCCTTTCTTCGACCGCTTTTAGAAAAGAAAAAACTTCAATGTACACAGAGACCTGCATTAATTTTGAGGTGTGATTCAAACAATAACCCAATTTGATCTCGTCAAGCGGCGAAGTTTGGAGTCTGAATGTAAACTAGCATGTTAAGTTAAGTATTGCAGTTGTACAACTGTTAAACGTGTGCCGGAAACAATAAGTTGTGTAGAAAAACAAGTTTCTTAACAACTTACTCACCCGCCAGAGAGAATATTGCCTAACTTCAACACCAGCTAAATCGTCTTGAGCGGGTATGCGCGAAATTGCCTTCGGTCAGTATACGGTTTTGGATTTGCGGGGCGCTGTCAATTTCACTTGGGTCAATGCAGGTCGCGTCGAATTCTTCCGCCTTCAGTTCGTTCTTTAAGTGCACAATTTTCGCACGTAAACTGATGAACAAGCTGACTAGATCTCTGTCCGGTGTTTCAATGCGATTAAGTTCTTCCAGGATCCACTTAAGCGCTCTGCTCAGTTCCTCCAACCTTTCTTTTTTATTTTTATTCTTCCCCTCTAACTGAAGCTTGCCGAGAAGCTGCCGAGCTTGTTCTAGCGCACTTTGCGTGCTGTAACCGGAAAGTTTTGCTGTTGACGCAGGGTTCAAGGAACGTGCAGAGGAGAAGCTTGCCACTGAATATCTGCGCGGTTGGTTTTTACTTGAATAAGAGTCGAGCGAATGTTCAGCGGAACCCCGGCGAGCTGTCCTTGATGTGGAATTGGAAATAGTGCGGCTAACCTCCCTGAAATGCGCTAAATCACCGGATATCGGCTTAGTTACTAACGCGCTATACACGGTACTATCACTGTCAGACGATGAGTGATATGAACTGTTTGATGAAAAAGATGCTTCGCTGCTATTGTCGCTTAGCACGTCCTCCATATCCAAAGAGCGATTTATGTCCCCTTTTACGTCTTCTACGTATAATCCTCTGAATTTGCCCACTCCGTTCATTTTAGCGCCCTTAAATCCTTGCGCCTTTGCCACTAGTTCCTTCCAGCGATCGTCTTCTTCGTTTCTGCTGCAATCAGCACTTTCCATATCCTTTACGTCGTCCTCACATGTCTTAGATCCTTGGTTCGAACTTTTTCGCGGTTGCGGCAAAACAATGCTGACTTTTTTGGATCCTGTATACCTTGGAACGCTGTGAAAGCAACCATCGGAAAATCGGCGGCAATTGAGCGAAGAAGCCCTGCTGCTTGCATTGTTTGTCGCGGTTGGAATGGATCCCGTTTCGCCATCCTCCATGTCGTGTTCCTCTGAGAGAGCGCTGAAGGTCGGAGTATTACTCCCAGAGAACCGAGCGGAGGCGAGAAAACCGTCCGAAGCGCGCCGCGTTGTACGGGGCTTGGACCACTGCAAGGAAGTATTCCTTGCAGGGGTAATGCGGCGGATCGGTTGTTCAATAGTTATTTGAAATCGAGGACGTACCATAGCTTCTGTTTCCGTGTTTATATCCTCATTCGATGCGCTGCGGCTCGGCATCCCTGTTCGTCCGTTGCGGTAGAACCGATCGTGGTTCTCATTGCTTTCGGATTTTCTTGTGGCCGGAAAACTCTCCGCTTCAAGGGAGCGAGAATGGCTCAACTTGCCTTGATCCCAGCCGTTTTCTTGTACTTCCCAAGTGTTGTACATAGTGTCTTCATTCGAGGTAGTATTACTCCAGACAGGCTGCTCGTAACTTGTGTCCTTCATATTCACTGGCCCGCAGAGCATTCTATAGAACACCCCGGCGGTTCACATACGGTACAACTGCGAGCAAACATTGTGTGACGTGGTGTTCTTCATACAAGCTCGTGATTATTCAAATGACACTCGTGGTTTCGTTTGAGTTATATTAATCGACCACAGATATGACCACGTCTAGATTCCTCGAATGTCGAGAGCCACATTAATGCATTCCGAGCGTCATGTAGCTGAGAATTTGCCAGATAAAGATATGAAACTTCCAATCGTTAAATTTTGACAGCTGGGAAGTCATTTGTCTATTGTGCGGTTAATAACTTTGTTATTAGTGACAACAGCACGTACCGCGTGACCCTGCGGGCATTCGGCTACCCCTCTCCTACAGGGGTCGGAATAACAAACAAAGACACCCCGCTTTCTGGATTGTCAAACGCAGTGTGTAGCTTTTTTACGCTTCACTAACGCTTTATGACTCTAGTAGACGGATAGAAATGCAAAGAAAGGTTCGGTTTCAATATAGTCATAAGCGATAACAAAGTTGCCTTTTCTTGGGAGGGGTAAGGTTGTTCGGTGTCTTTTGTAACCCTTCAATTTAAATAATATAATAAACTCACGGAACTATTTGACAGGTCAAGATCTTTGTTTTAGCAATGAACTGCCATCGATTCAAAACAACCAAATGATAAATCTGTTTTCAAATAGACTCTTAAAACACAATACCAGGCGCAAGGTTTTGAGCTGCGGACAGGAAAGAGGCTGTGTTGGCAGGGTAAAACGCTATACAAATTTGAAATTTTTGAAATTCTTACGGAGCCTATAATCCCATGTTAAATATGTTTGTCTCCATGGTCAACACCACGAAGCTTCAAAACTTATTGAGCGTTCTTTAATTATGTGGACCTCTTTTGTTTAGTTGCGCAAACACAGGTCATAGCATTCAATTTCATATTAACCTTTCATCTTGCTCAATTGCCATCTCATAAAAGACAGTTACATTCAAATATATTTCCTTCCTGCTCGTCTGTGCGTGGCAGTTCTTGATATTCTTTGAAACTCTTTAACGGGACCGATTTTGAGAGCGATGAAAAGCTAAGAATTTCACGGAATTGTTTAAATTCATCAACCACGTGCCTCATGCATGTGTGAAATCTGGATATTTGTAATTGGTGTTCTTTTTCAGCAAAAAATTTCAGCGCACGAAAACCAAGTTGACTGAAAAAAACGGATGCCCATTCACGCTGACTTAGCCTTTCTCAATGAGTAGTTGCGTAACAGTGGCCACAATGATGAAGCGTCCAATCGCAATAGAGGCCTCACGAGGTTCTCCTCAACCTGTGGACAGTCTGGCGAAGTACATTTTAGTGGAAAGCCATACAGTTTTCTGATTGCACAACATGCTTGCAAAGAATGTTCACGACGTTAATTAATTTCTTGTGATATAAATTGTCTTTACACGATAAGTATGCTCTAATTGGAAAAGCGATTTAAAAGCTAATTACGTTTTACTCAGCACATGATGGCTCTTAACTTCAGGTGGGGAGGGTAAGGAAAGGCTCAAATAGCGGTACTGCTTGATGCACTTCTGTGTGGTACGTGGGTGGCGGTGATAGAGGTTTTACTGAGGTACGCGAATGGTTTTAGGAGCATAATCAGTGATTAAAAGCTCAGACACACTTCAACTTTGACTAAATGACAACTGAGATTTCTTCTAACTCGCGTGACAGGGACGCTGTTGTACACAGATCCGAATAGACACTGGCGTCACTGGAATAAAGGATTCCATGCAGAGGCACACAGCTCTCTGTCATATTAACACGTGATGAACACGATGATTCCTCTCTCGGACCATTCTTAAGCCCATAAAAGGAGGATGAATAACCAACTTGAAGAAAAAACCCTCGACCGCTTTTAGACTTGAAATAAACACTACAAAAAGGGTTGACGACGATGATTGAAATTGTCGCTGCACCTTGCATGTAGTGGCCCTACTAAACATGTTACAAAATGTCGTCCCCCTCCTGATGAGGGCTTAGTCCAAGGTAAGCCAGTATAATGGTTAGGCGACTAATTCCTATTCATGCCACTTAATCACTCCTTTAAGGCGCTTAAGAGACCTTACAACGTCTCTTGAGAATTATTAATATTCACTTATGCTGTCCGTGTACACAGCCCAAACTAATACATAATTTTTCACGTTATTGCAAGATAGTTGTGTGCCGGTATGTAGATTCGTTTGTATGCAGGTTACGTAATTGTGCTAAGAAGCGAATATTTGAGGAGTTTGTCTGTTAGGAGTTGTCACTCGACGGCATTTCCATTTTTGATCACTTCATTCTGGAAATTTTGTTTTCGTAGAATTTCCGTGTTTTTGTTTAGTACATTGATTGTATTAGTAACTATCCTAGGGCCGCTTATGTTTGTTGCGATAAACTATGCTAGGGTTGTTTGTGTCTGATCAATAAAAGAGATGCCCCCTCCTAAAAGACTGGTGTTTTCTTACTTGTACTAAGTTAGAAATTATTTTGTTTTCGTTTCACTGCAGAGTGATTATACAAAAAATATTTACATGACGACAAAAACACCAATATCAAGGGTAGAAAGACTATTGTATTTGATTGGTATTGAGCAATCTGAAATAGACAAGTTTAGAAACGGGACGTCGGTTTGTTCTTCGTCGCTACGTGTTTTTGGATTGGATGGTAGGCCATCTGCAGTATTATAGCACAATGGCTCCCTTGAAATGATTCATTACAATTTTTTAAAACATAGACTAGCACCGTGTGCAAATTCTAGGAAATGCACTGACGATAAACGGTACAACTGATCAGCCAAGGTTACCATCTATGGCATCTGGACCCCGCTAATTCGAACTCGTTTTTTTTTAAATTCCCTGTTACTATTGATCTCAGACGTCTGTTTAAATGGCTTTCTTGCAGGCCCTTTTTACGCACCGATCACACCCGACGTTCTGCTAAAGAACTATCACCCAGAGCGCGTATCCATAATCTCTGACGGATGCCCATTATGGTTTCATTCACGTGATTTTAAAAAAAAAAAAGTGATCACGTGATAACAAACATCTCTCGACGCGGATGGCCACAGTTTGCAGCACAGTTGTTGCAAATCGGCCTCAAAAGTACTAAGTTCGGGGCAAATCTTATCCATGCGATGGATTTTGCATCTGTCGAACTCTTCTCTATAACATACTTGGTCTATATCAAACTTGGTCTAATTTCGTATCAACCCTAACCCATGCTGGATGCCAGATGCCGAATTGGAAATTCGGCAGTGGTCTTACCGTACAAAATTGGTATGCAGGTTACGTAATCACGCTAAGAAGTGAATATTTGAGGAGTTTGTCAGTTAGGAGTTGTCACTTGACGACATCTTCGTTTTCGATCACTTCATTCTAGAAAGTTTGTTTTAGTAAAATTTCCGTATTTTTGTTTAGTACGTTTGTTGTATTAATAACTATCCTAGGGCCGCTTATGTTTGGTTTGTTGCATTAAACTATAGAAGGGCTGTTTTTGTCTGATCAATTCTTACTTGCACTAAGTTAGAAATTATTTTGTTTTCGTTTTACTGCAGAGTGGGCATGATTAGACAACAAATGATGACATGTACGGGGAAAACAACTATGTTACTCTTACCTAGCCCTTGGTTATTCAGAACAGCAGGGAAAAACTCATCCAATTATCTTCTATTTTGACTTCATCTATAAAGTTACAGTCGCATAAGAATTTTAAACAAATTTAAAAAAAGAGTATTTTTGAGACATACTTGTAGCTTCCCTCAGTGTAATAGAATGACTTTATTTTCATGAATAACAGCAGATCTTATCATAAATCAATAAATAACAGGGATAAAAATGATAAAAGTAAATACAATAGCGAATACACAGAGGAAATCTAAAGAATCTGATCGGGTAATTTAAGGACTTTTTTAACTGTATTCATCAGCTGCCAGCTGTTTTTTTTTTAGTGGATAACAACACGAGAGCCACATAAATTGTCAGAAAAAACACATTTCGTCTTTCATCAGCTAGTTTTAACTTTTTCTTGACAGCTCTTTGTGATCATACCAGCAAATTTATCTGAAGACGTGAAAATATTGCGAATATTTTGGTTTAGAGACCAAGGGGTCAAAATTTCGAAAATATGATTCTCACGTCTGTTGAAGTGACTTGCTTCATTCACATGATTTTAGAAAAAAGGTGATCACGTAATGACGAATTTCGTGATCTCTTCGTGTCATGGCTGAATCTGCCGTCGAGGAAGTTGCTTCACAATTTGTTGGCAAGTTTGTTGAGTTTCGCACTTTCTGGCAAGATACAATCCAAGGTATGTTACAGACAGATGCAAAATCCATCGCATGGATAACATTTGCCTCAAACTTGGTACTTTTGAGGAATTTAATTTGCGGCAGCTGTGCTGCAAACTGTGGCTCTACAACCGGATGAATCCGTAAGATTATCCCTGATGAGAATACTCTCAGGGAAGTTCTGCTGAAGCCCTATAAACTGGCCACGGCGACAGTATCTCTGGTGGAGTAAGTTTTGGTCAACGGAGTGTTAGTGATTTTTTAAATTCAATCGTCTTTTCATCCATTAGGGTTAAATCTACCCTCTCTTCTAATTAACACTTGCCATGTTTTTTTGCCCTCAATTTGTGACTTCTTAAGGAAGTATAGATTATCACAATAAAAGAGTAGCATTTCTTGTACATCTGAACATGCCGAGTATCCTTCATTCCTTCTCACGCCTGATCCAAGAATCANAAAATATGATCGGGAAACGTGTCATTCTCTTTTGTGTTAAAGGATGTTGATGGTTCCGAAGTTGTTCTGCCATTTTATTCAGGTTTTTATCATTGTTCACATGCCACCAGTTTGGCTTCAGTTAACGTTCTAATCGCTTCTCAGTTAAAGATGGGCTCAGTTTGAAATGATTTTAATCAGATAACACGGGATAACACTTCTCTTAACTGTTTTGAGTGGTTTATTTTAAAGGCGCACTTCACGTTTTCAATGTCATCTCTCCAAGTTTCATCCGCTCAATGCATCTTTTCAAGTCAGTAATGTTTTTTTTTTCAATATGTTTCCCTACTCGATCTATATTCAAGCCCAGTACACTAGCTTACAACAATTGCGTTCTTCTTTTCATTTCATTGCAGGGCAACTGCCCTGTGGCTTTACGCCCATTTCTCAGTCACGTGTCATAGGAGGCCAGGATGCTAAGCCAGGAGCTTGGCCGTGGCAGGTAAAGACAATGTACATGACATGAAACTATTTCATTGCGTTCTACGTTCTGGCTGTTTGGAGTGACTCGCTTCAATTCAAGCAACAAACTGACTGAATACACAGTCATCATATAAGATAAAATACTAGGATCTTAATCCTGCTCGTTGTAATCGTCGTCACTGCTCTTAGTTTTCAATGTGCACCTCAAACCAGAATGTTTGTGTTATTTTCCCTCACGTCATGGGTGATTTGAATGACTGTATTATTACTCTCATTTCCCGGCCAATCGATGTAATAGCCTGGAGATTTTCCTGAAACAACACAGATTACTTAAGGATATCCGAATGGCAGGGAAGGTTGGAGTACTGTGGACTTACTTCATCTAATTCTTCAGTAACAGTGTAAGACCAACGATCACAAAAGCGGTCTACTTAACAAATAAACTCCATGTTGCCGTGCATCTGCTTAGTTATAAATCGCAGATGACGTCAAAATGTGGTAAGAACAAAACAAAGCGTACACGAGCCGTTACGGAAAATTCTACGAGATATTTCCTTTGTTACGTTATGTGTTTGATTTGCTCAGTTGGATGGGGTGCAGCACGGAGGGAACTTATCTTATCATTGATCACGTGACTGGTGATAAGTGATGACTGAAAACTAGTAGATTATAGTTCATTATCCTCACTCTAATAAACTACAGTTGGTTCAACTTTTGCTTCAACTCAGTCAATACATCGCTTGCAGAGAAATGAGGAATGTAAATTAAAAAATATTTTGTTTGATTTTTTTAGATAGCTTTACAGCGTTATGGAAGTTTTATCTGTGGAGGATCACTGATTAGTTCTGACTGGATAGTAACCGCTGCTCACTGCGTGGCAGGCAGTTTGTAAGTGTTCGCTTAAAGTGCATAGCTGCAAGTAACAACAATAGATTCAACCAACCGACCGACCGACCGACCAACCGCACCCCACCCCCCCGCCCACCCTACCGATCGATCGACCGACTAACCAACCAAACAACCTGACTACCCCACCAACCCTTCCAACAGTCAAAATGTCTTTAAATCCTATTCAGACCCAAAATGGGCACATTCAAGATGGTGGATGTTCGAAAATCACTTCAAGTTGCTAAATTGTATTGTTCCTTAGGAGGTGGCATACCCCGCCGCCACCCCATCCCCTATTCCCCGTCGTAAGAGAGTGTAAAAGCCTGCTGGGTTTATTCCTCGAAAATTTTACCCTACACTCATTCAGCATCCAGTCATCATTCTCCCTTGTCTTTTTGGTAGAAATCCTGCTGATTATAAAATTGTCGTGGGTGATCACAATCGCAACACAAACGAGGGCACAGAGGAAACGATTGGAGCCAAACAAATCATCTACCACCCACAGTATAACCCAAGCGTAATCAACAATGACATCGCCTTGATTCAACTAGCCAGTGCTGTAAAGCTTTCCCAGAGAGTGAATCCTATCTGCTTACCATCTCATGACTCCGATATTCCCATAGGATCAAAATGCTACATCACAGGTGATCAGCGTGACCGCTTTGATGATTTCAATAGTGTGGTTAAAGACAACGTATGGAAAGTCTATGAGCTGGATGTTTGCGTTATCTGTCCACTGCTATTATTTCCCATTAGATTTAACTCGTCTTGTTGGCCTTGGTGAATCTAGATCGGCAATTGTCGCTTTTCCCTTTCTACTCTAGAATGTTGGAAATAAAACATAAACTTCGGTGAAGTCGAGACCCAACACCGAGCTCATTGCTGTCATTGCTTCCCAACAATTGAAAGATTAATTTGTTAGAAAACCAATCTTAAACTGTGAACACAAAAGTAAAGAGAAAATGATAAGTACACTTTTTTTTCCAAATGTGCATTGCCAAGTGAGATTACAAGAGCTACAGTCGGCAAAAAAGTAATAATAAATAAATTAATTAATAATATACATGAAAAAATTACTCGATTCTGATTCTTAATTTCTTGAATCTAATCGATGCTTAAAATTGCAAAATTATCCCATTGCTTTCTCTAGGCTGGGGAAAGATCAAACATCCAGGAAGTTCTCATCCCATCCTACAGCAGGCCATGATGCCGCCCATCGACAAAGGGAAGTGCCAACAAAAGATTCAAGCCGCTGGAGGTATTTCAAAAAGTTCTATTATAGCTGTCTAAAGATCATAGAAACCGAAATGAGTACAAATGTCACCTTCTGCCGGAATAATCAAACTAAATTTTGCTGCTGCTGTTTTATTTTGCTGTTAGTTTGATTTTGTCGCTATTAGTGTGAATGCTGTATGTCAGTATGTTGTAACGTAGTGTATGTAGCTCAGCTGAATTAATTTTTTTGCTGCCGTTAATTTGACCACGTCTGTGCCCAACCAGAAAGCTCTTGCTACTTTGGTCACCGCTCACAAACAAATTTTATTTCTTTGTGGCTTCACATTTCTTAATTTTTTATTATTTTCAGTACAGTTACCTTTTAAATTGTATGTAAATAACCTGTATAGTGTAAATAAAGAATTGAACTGAATTGAATTGAATTGATCAATCAGCTTCGTATTCCGAGTGTAAGTCACGGCCTCGTTGTCAAAAGCTAAGTAAAACTTTGGCCTGACTGAACACGAGACTAGGGTGGACATTAGATATGCGAGTTCCAGGCTGATATCTCATTTGTGCTTATGTATCATTCTCTCTTTCAAGTTCCAATCCCTTTAACTCCACAAATGTTGTGCGCGGGCGTCGAGAATACAATATTAAGCGGTTGTCATGGCGACAGTGGAGGTCCGTATGCGTGCCTGAATTCGGACATGAAAACCTACACCCTGCACGGTGCCGTCAGTTGGGGCTCTGGATCATGCGATGCTAACCAGCTTTTCTCTGTGTTCGCACGAGTAACAAAGTTCCGAGCTTGGATCAAGCAGCACACGGGAATCACGGGAGGAGGAGGTTTGGAACACGTCACATGTTTGTAGCTGACTATAAGAACCGTTAATGAGATCGTAACTAGTTATCACAGAACTAAATCATCTGGTACAGCAAGCAAGAGAATTATATATATTCAAAATCATTGAGGATTACAACGGCAACAAAAACAGTTAAGAGCTACAAGCTAGCTATAATAAAACTATAAGCAGGTTACCATTGTCAGTTCGTCAGGCTTTATGCAGTGTTTCCTGTTTTTTAAAAAAGAAGGAAGTAAGGGTCCCAGTACTTAGCTTCGAGAAATGATTAAATTGGTTGTTGTTGATACTTTTATCTCGAAAAGTTTTGATGTTTTTTTCTTCTTTAGGGTGGTCTGCCTTGCAAGGGGATGAATGTCTCCTTTGCTGACCATCGGTGTTTGGTCTCTACGGCGCATTTATTAGCCTTATTTTGCAATTGACTTTTCCTTTATACGCACTGACATAAACTTAGGTGACATGACAAACTCTGTTGCTCGTGTTGTTTCTAGGAGGCTCACCGCCACCTCCATCTACTCCTCCCACGCCCACGACACCTGGGAGCAGCGGTAAGCCAAATATGTTCTACTAAAAATAACTGCAGAAGTTTGATCGGCTGCATGAGCTATACAACAAGCCACTACCGACAAAGCAGTAAAAAAAAATTAAAACAATGATATTTTAAGCTAACGACATCGTGATCAGTTCGTTCTAATAACTAAATGGCAAAATTATTCCCGAAAAAGTACGGTTCCTGCTTTCTCTGGAAGGCACCGTCTCCAGGCTAACCAGACTGTTAAACTTAATGAAATCCTAAATAGCTCTCTACTGCTGTCAGACGTTAGGGAATAGTTCCAAGTAGCATGGACATGAATTGCTAAAGGTCAATTTCCACGGAATTCTCACTTTCGTGAAGAATTATAAATGCCATTGCAATTTACACTACCAAAAAGAAATATATTTCCGACAACTCTTCAGCAAGTATACACTATGAACGCAGCTAGGGAAATCCAAATTCAACTCATATCCTGTAACCATCTGCATGACTAAGCACTCGTTTAAAGTTATCACGACAGTTAACTGCAATTTTTTTTTTTTTTACAATTGCTTTTCTCTAGAATGTTCAAACTACCAAGTTCTGAGTGACAGTGACCGTGCCAAAGGATTCAAGACCGTTAATAGCTTCAAATGTGATCGACCATTTACAACGGATTGGTATAAGTTCGAAGGAGGCGCAGGCACACAAATGCCTGATCAAGTTGTACCCACACACCACTGCGGTACGCATGCACCAGGCTGGCTTAATGGTTCGCATCCAACAGTAGCTGAAGGGATTGTCTCACGCCAAGTTTGTTTTCATTGGTCCGGCAATCCTTGCAAATGGTCTATATTTATCCGGGTTCGTAACTGCGGTGGTTACTTCGTGTATTTGCTGGCTCGGACACCCACCTGCTATCTGCGGTACTGTGGCAACAGCGATCAAGGTACTGTAGCGTAAAAGGGGGTTTGGTTTTCCTGACAGAAATTACCTAGTACAATAATGAAAGATTATTTGGGCTGAAAAGCTGCTAACAGAAAAGCAAAAATTAAGAGAAGGAAGCTCTACTTCCGTTTCGCTTCACTTTAGCTTTGCTCGAAATCAGTACAGTTTTAGCACTTTTTCTTAAATGACAATGCTATACCAACTACTGATTGTTGCAATTATGTGGGAATCCAAAATAATTTAAAGAAAAAAATCACTTAACGTGCACACATTCAATGAGGGAGAGACTTGGCCTGTTAACTTTATCTAACAGGCGCCGTTATTTGCGTCTGCAGTTAGTATATAAAATCGCAAATGATTATCACTCTCCCAGGCAACTTCAAGGGTATTTTGTACCGAGATCAGGAATTTCGTCGTAAGGCCCTGAGAGACAGAAGGGAACTTCATCTCCCAAGATACAAAACAGCTATAGGGCAGTCAACCTTCGAGTGTGCTGCTGCAAAGGAATGTAATGACCTCCACAAAGACCTACGTGCTTTTAAAACGCTAAGAATTTTAACTTTTAACTTTTTAATAGAATTAGATAAGGCACAACACAAATGTAGTGTATAGGTTTTTGTACATATTTGGTGAATTGTGTTTTATGTAATGATCACCGGTTCATACCAGCGTCTTTATATTGAATTCGCTAATCTGATTTTTCAGTATCAATAAATCTTTTATTATTATTATTATTATTATTATTATTGGTATTGTTATTATTATTATTATTATTATCATTATTATTATTATTATTATTATTATTATTACTATTATTATTATTAAAAGTATTTGGGTAGTATGACAGGGGACCAGCGGCAAATAAGAGCTGATTATGCATGTGGTGACACTTTTTTATATTTAATTCTGACTAAGGTGACAGAAATTTGGTTTTTAAAGTTTTTATTTGTTCATCATGATACTTTTTTCGATCTGTTTTTGACAAGTGATAGCGTAGCGAGAGAGAATTATAGCAGTTTGCTGAGGAAGAAGTAATTCACTTGGTCAGTCAGTCAGTCAGTCAGTCAGTCAGTCAGTCAGTCAGTCAGTTAGTCAGTCAGTCCATGGGTCGTTAAAATGTTTTGGTGGTTATTCTGCTGAGCAGAGAATTTCGCGAGAGGGGCGACATTTGCCCGACCGTTGATATTGTCAACAAAATGGCTACTAAAGTGATGATATTTCGAGTTTGGAGCCCAAAAAGAGTTCCCAAATTAAGGACTATTTGGTATGCAGCAAAGGTGGGTTTAAAATTTCGATCCATCGATAGCCTTGGAAGCGGCTATTGATCGAAATGTTGCCACGATTTATGTGCGAAGGTTTCAGGCTCGTTAAGAGCTTTTCTGTCAAGAATTAATCAAATTTTCCCTGCCGTCTCATTTTCTTATATAATCTTTATTACTTTTATGACTTAAACATTTATTTTACGTTACCTATATAAACACAAACCATCCGTTAAAAGCTCGGCAAGAAATAAGACCGTTTGCACACCAGGGTACGTATAAAGTACTGTGCACATAACCCATTCAGTCTGTTTTTTTAAAGACGTGATTACTTTATCGGTAGTTACAATCAAAACAGCCCAAATATTCCACCTAAATAAGCTTAAAATCTTTTTTTTTACCACCCTTGTCACATGCATTATCTGAGCTTGTCCGTTTCAAATATCACGAGTTGGCCTAAAGAGCCTTTGATTTAAGTTAACATGCTCACTGATCGCCCAAATACCATAACAGTGTTTTGCATGTTGTCTGATTTCTAGGAAGTTCACCTCCACCCCCATTTACAACGTCAGCACCAACACCTCCACCTCCAACGACCCCAACAGGTCAATACGGTAAGATGGCAAGATTTACGAATTCCAAATACGGTGAAAACCACGGTTAATGACGCGGACACCAAACAGAAACGCGCAAGTGTCCGTAGTGGAGGTGTCCAGGGGCTCCGGCTCCCACAGTCAACGTCACAGATACATATATTGTCCACGTAAAGATTAAAACAGCGAAACGTTATGAAAATAATAAAGCTATATTTAACACCACAACTCTATTCAGTTGAAGCTCCTCAAAGTTCAATGTTAATGCATATTCTCTTGTCAGTTTGTATTGTAACTTAAAGAAGAAAATGGCACAAATTTATGAGAAGCTTTTGTGTTCTAATAGGGCAAAACATTGCGCGTAATCGTGACAAATGGAAATATGTAGCACGCAGATACTCTGCACTGTCCTTAACGTGAAGTAAACCTGGTATGGGAGAGTTATCGCAAAATATCGCACAATATCGTGATGTGTCAGTGTCTCGCAGCTCAATTATTTGGCTCAGCCTTCGGCTTCTGCAAATAACTGAACTGCTCGCCATTGACAAATCACAACATTGCTTAACCTCGTTCAATAATTGTTAATTAGTTAAACAATTGTTTTGCTGTAGAATGTTCAAACTACCAAGTACTGAATGATACGGATCGTGCTAGAGGATTCAAGGCGCTTAGTAACTTCAAATGTGATGTACCGTTTACAAAGCAGTGGTATAAGTTCGAAGGAGGCGCAGGCACACAGATGCCTGATCAAGTTGTACCCACACACCACTGCGGAACGCATGCGCCAGGCTGGCTTAATGGCTTGCATCCAACAGTAGCTGAAGGTGCTGTCAAACGTAAAGTTTGTTTTCATTGGTCCAGCAATCCTTGCTATTGGTATAGAGACATCCGGGTTCGTAACTGCGGTGGTTACTACGTGTATGAGTTGTGGCGAACACCCACCTGCCATCTACGGTATTGTGGCAACAACGATCTAGGTCAGGATTTCTTTATGTTCACCCTGTTGTTTAGTAAGAGAAGTTATTGTGTTCGCTTTCTCAGACAGAAGTTCTGAATATGAGTTTATAAAGCAGTAAAAGTAAGTTTTATCGTAGAGGGAATGTTAATGCTTGTTATTCAAGAACATTCTGCTTTTAGAAATAGTGCAACTTGCCGTGTAAAAACTGGCGCAATTTGTCATAAAACAGGCCATAGTTTGCCCACAGTCTGTTTATGCAGCCCCGTTCGTTTTTGCATATAACCCGCTTCGTGTCTTTTCGTGTTCTACTGAAGAATGAATGGTTGATTCTAGAAAGTCTGATTAGGGATGTTGGAATTGAATCTCAGTTATCAGTTGTATTTGCAGTGGTTCCTCAGCTTTCATATAAAATTTCAGTCCATTTCGCAGCAATCAGCAGTAAATTATGCAGAACTCAGATCTCAGCTATCACTGTGGAACAAGGCGTCATTTCTCAGATGACAGAGATAACCAATTCTCACTGGGAAGTTCCTTTTTCGGACAGACTTTTAAAAGGGTCGAAGAACTGACGTTGTTTCCTATAAATTATTTTTATAAGGTTCAACACCGCCCCCAGCAACAACAAAACCACCAGTGCCTACGCCCACCTCATCTGGAAGCAACGGTAGGCTATACTATAGAGATGTCTCATAACATAAAGGCAGAAAACATGGGCTTAGTTTGATAAACATGAACTATAAAATAATCCCCTAACAGAAACAACTCTGAATAGTTAACTCGACTTCTTCGGTTAAACGCCAAGCATTAATACCGACAACGTTTGCCCATTATCAAAAACAAAGATAATAAGTGATTTCACAAAATGTTCACTGAAAAAGTATGCTAATCAACTAGTTGTTAACCCCGACATTTCAGTAAAGAACTGACAAATAAAAAGTAATTAAGCTAGGCAATTATCAACTGGTACAGTATGACTACATGTAAAAGAGTGTGAAATTACTGACTAGCAGAGACGGATTAATTAAGAATAATTTGCTCGACTTTATAAGTGGGAAGTGGAGATGCAAATTTCTTTGAACCAGAAAGTCCCCGAGTTATCATCAAAAATTATCTCACAGCTTTTTCTCCAAAATAAAACTATGCGTCATATTTTTTCCCAACAATTTGACTTTTTTAACAGTGCTTCATTAATGAGCAAAATCATATTTAAATTTTGATCGTTCTTCTTTACGTACATTTAAAGAACTTAAAAGAACAAAATCCCACATCCTTTTTCAGTCTGCCTATAGGGGTTCATCTCTCAGGTAATTTGTTGCCCCACTGAGTGGAATTTTCTTTATATCCCTTCAATATGATATTTCAAGGATGCGGGACAAGTTCACCAGCAACACCTCCACCGCCGACGACACCTGTAGGACCATCCGGTAAGAGAATTGTAACGTATAGTCAAAATTCGGTAAATGTGAAGTAATAGAGTGCATACGTATATACCCGAGGAGGATTCCCATAGTTAAAGTATGGGAATGCTCGTCGTACTTTTTTGGCCTTTGAAAAAGCGGTTTTGGTATCTCTCAGGGTGTTCAGCCTCAAAAGGTCCACAGCGGTACCTCAAGCAGTACCTTTTATAGTATTGAGCCGGAAGAAATATGACAGGAGAAATGTGCTGTTTTAGAATTGGTACCTCTTAGGAGTGAAAAACATTTCAAGCCACGCCTACAAAACAGGATCTTGGTACCTCCTAGGGGTTCTTTTTAATATTTCTGACGAGCACCCCCGTCCCCGGGGGTGTAGAAAATACTGGCATTTGACTCCCTAACTGTTACCATTAAAATAATAATAATAATAATAACACCGGACGAAACGGAGTAATTGAGCCAGCAGGAAAATACTGAGAAGATTTTGCTCAAGGATTCATTCGTGATGTGAAGCAGCACTGATTACGAAGAGGAAACATGGCGCCGATACACAGTGATCATTTGATTTGTTTTATTCCAGTCCAAAATGGGCAATGTTCTGTATTAAAATTAAATTGGAAGTGAGAGAAAAGGTGAAGAAAAGATGAAGATGAAAACAGTCCAGCCATTTATGGTAAACGTATAACTAGGAAAAAAAATGCTACAATGGCACTTGGAAATGGTCCTTTTTCTTAGAGAACATCAGTCAATTTGATAGCAAAATACTCTTGAAAACAAGCAAGTTGATTATTACCAACAGAAAACTGTGAGCTGTGAGGAACAGATAACGTCCAAGGACAAATATCCGAGCATATTTTCGCGCCAAATGTAGGCTATTGTGTTTATTATTCTTCAATTTTTTTTCGCAAAACGCGCGGTTTTGAAAATTGGAGAATATCACTCGGCTATTTCCCAGTTTTAGCTGGGGAATATTTAGTCACGTGACGCGTTTAGACCAATCGTGCGCGAGCGAAAATATTTGATGGATTATAACGAGTTATGGATGCATACACGCGGGAGGTTTGCAGAGTGCGAGAGAAGCTTAGGAGTTGCTTAAGGCGGTAGCCGAGAGCAACTCTAGCTTTTTTAGTGCTCTCCAAACTTCCCAAGTGCATCCATAACTCGATATACGCACAGCTAAAAGCATGAACCAATTCTTTTATAACATGGCGACAACATGGCGCTAAAACATGTTTTATTTGTGATTGACTACAAAGTGAAGGAAGACAAAGGTCTTTAGGATCCTAACAAGCCACAATCTGTTGAGCACCGGTTGAACGAAAACGCTTAATCTGGTTTCTAAAATTGTCAATGAAAAATTCGCTTCTTCGAATTAATTGTAAAGAAAATGTGGGCAAACAAAGTCAAAAATACTGAATGAAAATGTAGACAAACAAAATCAAAATACTCAAGTTTAAGTAAACATCTTAGCTTGGCAAAAGTCAAAGGCTCGAAGTAGAGTTTGGATTGTTCAGAATATCCTTCACATTGCCGAAACTTGCACTAAAATCGACATAAATTTTGTAGCTAAATTGAAACTTTACACGTCATCTTATATACGCACGGCTGTGCGTAATATAATACATCGAGATATCGTTCATGATGGGTCAACAGGAATTAAATAGGACTGGCGCGCCCGCTATGTTATAAAATGCTATCGTTCACTTTGCCTTGTGCCTGTGCCTTTTTGGTGTTCAAATAGAACATGCTGAACTACAGATCAAGTAGTTCGGGCTCGAGCCTCGGCTATGACTTTGTGCTGTGTTCTAAGGCAAGAAACGTTTCTCTCATGGTGCCTCTTCACCCGTTATATAAATGTGTACCGGCGAATGTAATGCTGGGGATAACCACGTGATGGACTGGCATTCCATTCACTGGGTTGGGCGGGGGGGGGGG